GTCTTGGGCCTTAGGAAGAAAGCCCAATTACCATTTGAATGGGCTCCCTCACTAGGAGGGAGTACCCAACAGAAAGTCACAACAATCGTATCAGGATTAGAATTTTTATCATGGAACATGAAGCCTTGTGTTGTATATTTATGATGTCTCCTGCCCAACATAAGTTTATTGTATTATTAGCAAAACATTCATGTAGCTATACTACAAAATCAATGGTAATATACTAATTTTTGCGAAGAAGGGCCACGTCGATTTAGTATTTTTTTTCTCTTACCATCAAAAAAATCATATGCTCCCAATGATCCATCTGCATAAAGTCGCCAAAAGTTTATTCAAGTCACTGTTGAAGGCTAAATATAAATATAACATTTTAAACTTTTGGACGAGAAGGTTCATTATATACTACCTTCCATACTTTTTCAACCACATCTTGGATGAAGTTTTTGTTCTCGTGGGCTATTTTTGAAGCCATGGCAGTGAGAGCTGAAAAATACTTGCTATCCCCAGGTTTATTTTCCTGTCCAACTCCACCCTTTTGTCTAGAAGCCCAACAATGGATGAAAAATTGGATAATCTTTTGTCAGGTAACTTCATCTTTCTTGTATATATGGCATACATAGGTCAGTCAGATGATTTTTTATTTCTTGGTATCGCGTTGATGTTGTTCAACATAAAATTTAATAAATAAAATGTGTCCGTTCTCCAATTATTTAAGCTTTAAACGAGATGGTTAAACATGTAATAAATCTGTCATATGCGTGCGTGTATGATGTATTAAAGATTAAACTTAAATAAACGTGTGTCGTTTCTACATGTTTAAGCTTGTAAATAAGGTTATTTTGGACAATTATCACCATTGCATTGTAGATCAACTTATAAGGTTTTGGGCTACTGTTGACTTTTTAAGATGAAACTCAAGTCTTAACACTACGGACCTCCAGAAAACAATTAAGAAAGAGTAACTATTAGATAAATTGCTTTTATATATGATGGTTTGAAACAATGTGCATCATAAATATAACAAAATCAAAAGAACAATTAATTGTCAAAATATGTTAAAATATAGACTAACCTCGCAAAAGACACGACAAGAACTCTTTGAAGTTTTTTTTTTTTTACCTAAAAGGTTTAGCCCTATCTCTATTGTTGAACCTAAGAAAGACAATGACCTTGCATTGGATTGAAGAATCTTCTATAAGAACATAGAAAGAAAAACAATTCCTCTTCCCTCGAGAATTGCTGGCTTCACGTCAAGTGGATTAAGAAAATCTTTGTTCTGTATGTCTTTGGTATATAGAACACTAAAAATGTTTAAGTCCAGCATAGCGCGGTTTCAATAAAAGATACTTCTTGCTTGTAACCATCTTTGGATCGAGCACGAATAAGTTGATTGATTGATTAATGTTGTGTTCCATGTTTATCCGAATGGAGTAGGAATCTTTAGCTACAAGGGATTTCTTCATTGGTTGATTGATTAATGCTATGTTCCATGTTTGATCGACTATGGTTTGCAATGACAAACAAAATGAATTGTTAAAGTGAAAAGGCTAAATTTCTTGGATGCTAATTTCGTCTTTATCATATTTTGTGTGGTAGATTAGACCGTATCAAACAAGAAAAATGGATTAAAATCTTGTATTTCGAGCTAATTATAAGATTCCTTGCACAAGTTGCTGTTGCTTTGCTGTTGAAACTACCATGTGTCTTTCCCCCAGTGCATGAAACACATGGCCGGAGCATAATATCCTCTACAGGAGATCCCAAGAGTAACCTTGGGAATTAACTAAGTGGCTTCCCTTTGTCATTTAATTTCATTTTTCTTTTATCGGGCATGCTTTGTCTGTTATTGTTGGAATTCATGGAGTCAGATGATACTTCACACTTACCACAATCCTTCGACCTCAAATCAACTTAATATTACTATTATATAAAAAGGTTAAGCTTAATGCATGATAGCTGCTATTCAATCTTAGCCATTTGGGAGGATTTCATCTCATAATTATCCATGACTGT